CCCTAAGCTTAGATTATCCAAGGAGGATATATTTCATACTCACTCTTGATAAGCTAAAATGATATATAGAATTCATACTTTTTGAATAAATATTTTTTCAGCAAATTTAAGCTTTTAGTTGTCAAGGTAAAGTGCCCTCAGCCACTGTTCTGGTCTGTGGTGGTTTTTTTTTTTGTTGTTACTGGTGTTGTTTGGATGTGGTATTTTGTAGTGCTAGGAACTGAACCCAAGGCCTTCCATTTGCTAGACAAGCATCATACCACTGAGATGTATCCTGTATTCTGATCACTTTAAGTGGTTTGAATTATCCTTTTCATGAACACTTCATAGTTTTCCTGGAAATCACATTGTTCAGAGTTACCTCTGAATGTTTCCAGCCAGGGGATCCTCCATATCTAGATGGGAAGTTATAGTGTTCTGACACATTCATTTTGGTTTTGACTACTCTTCAGGCTCATAACTCCCTCTCCAAGTCAGGCTACTGGCTAGAGTTTCTTGTCTCCAAGGTGAGTCCTAGACACTCATCTCCTACCACCTCCACCTTTTCTGTCTTAGAGCCAGCCTTAAAGAAATTCCCTGACAAGACCCTCCTCATTCCAGTTGTATCCTGTCCCATCCCCCTAGAGGGAAGGGTGCTTCTCAGAGAGGTGGAAAGAACACTGGGCAGATAGGCCTTGCTGGTTTCCCCATCTAGCCTTTTTTTCTTTTTTTTTTTCAGTCTTTTTGAGACAGGGTCTCCCTGTAGCTCCAGCTGTCCTGGAACTCACTATGTATGGCCTTGAGCTCACAGAAATCCACCTGCCTCTGCCTCCAGAGTGCTGGGATTAAAGGCGTGCGCCACCACGCCCGGCTAATCTAGCCTTTTAATAGTCATAGCTATGCAATAAAATCTCCATAAAAACCCAGGGGGACAGGGTGGAAGATCTTAACAGCAGGGCATGTGGAGGTTCCCAAAGTGGGCATAGAAGCTCAATGTCATGCCCCTCTCCCAACCCTACCATCTGCATGTGCTTTATGTGAACTATGCTGAGTAATAAACTAGTAAACACAAACAAGTGCTCCAAGATCTTAAGTTGCTCTAGCAAGATAACTGAACCCAAGGAAGGATTTACAGCCAGTTTTTCAGACATACAGGTAAGATAAATTGGGACTTGCAGACATCTGAAGTTGAGGAGAGGCTTGTCTTGGGGAGACGATGCCAGAATTGAATTAGAGGACACCCAGTAAGTGTCCACTGTTGCTGGTTAGTAGAGGAAAAATCTCCACATACTAATAGAGGAAGTCTTTTGTTTGGATTGTGACGTGAAGACACTTATTTCCCCTAAACAAAGAAATGTTCCAGGTTTGCATGGAGTTCCACACCTCTAACCATATCATCTGTTGTAGGAGGCTCACTCCGGGTGGACTCAATTCAAGTTTGATTTCCTCTGTAAATCAGTCATCAGAGATCACTCTATTCTAAGCTTCTTTGGCTCCCATTCTTGATGCCAGTCATCACTGTAAATGTGATAAGCTTACTGTTATTTAATTTCATGTGTATCTGTTCTTCCTCATGTATGATATAAGCTACTTAAGGATCAAGACATAACAAACACTGTAAACATCACCACCACCACTTAGCAATAGCAGCACCAAGTGGGCCTTCAGATAATACTTGTTACTGATAGTTCCTGAATCTACATAAAGCAGATCCACATAGTCATTGTTTACAGTAAAAGCCCTTCAGCCACAAGTTAAAGTATTTATACTGGCAGGTAATGTAGACATATTGGTTAGGTTTGAGCAGCATGCATGCTAGTATTCTCATGTTCATTGTTTGTCATCTTTGGTTATATTGCTGGCAGAGGAAGCCTCCTGAAGAAAGGAGAAAATGGAGCATGATGTTAGAAAGGTCTCTGCCCTGTGCTTGATCATTTGTCAGCAGTCAATCTAAAGAATCAGTCTTATGACATCATCTTCTGTGTTCCACAGTTCTGTGAAATTTCTTTAATTTTTTTACATTGATTTGTGTGTTGAGGGGTACACATGTGTATGTGCCATGTGCCATGGCATGTATATGGAGGTCAGAGGACAGCTTCCAAGAGTTGGCTTTTTCTGTCCACCATGTGGATGCCAGGGATTGAATTCAAGTAATCACATTTGACAGCAAGTACCTTTACCTACCATCTCACCAGCCACAGTTCTGTGGAATTTTTTATTGTAGACAGGCATGGTGGTATACATCTATATATTTCTAGCATTTGAGAGGCTGAGTCAGAATTGTAAATTCAAGACCAGTTTAGGCTACATGGTAAATTTTAGGCTGAGAACACAAACGGAGAGACTGTGTCTCAAAACCATAACAAAATGAAGTTGCATTAGACAGTAACTGTTATACCTTCTGGGAAGAAAGCAGAGCTTTAATTACCAACTTCACTTTCTTCCTCCTCCCCAAACAGGTTTTGGATTTGAATTTGCTGGTTTTTTCAGGCTTGAATGTCATTTTAAAACATACACAGAAAATGTGACTTCAATATATATTTGTGGTAGGTCCTCTAAGCAGATGACTTTTTCCCCAGATAGTGGGTTAAGATTTAGGAGTAGCTTTTAACCTTAAGTTTTTGTTGAATAGAGAAAACTGAATTACAGCAACCTTGCATGATTAATTTAAGTGTTTTCACCTTCGTATAAAGATCCTCAAAAGGTTGTGTCATTTTAGACTCAGCTGCTATAATGAATTTACTTTCACTGTGCTGTATGTTTTTATAGTACTCCTAGTTCCTTGCTTTGCAAAGATAAGCAAATTTATGACTTTATATGTGTTTACAGTTTGGCCTTTAACCAAAGAGATTTCTTTTGTTTGAACAGATGTGTAAACAAAAACATTGCTGTCTCAGACTTCATTGCTGAAAAAGGAAACTGATTTGTAGTCTTCTTGGGGTAATTGGCATTATCAGGCTGATGAGAGGGTATGGCCACATGTGGTGACCTCAAGAATAACACACACACACACACACACACACACACACACACACACACAGAGTGGGGGGGAGAATAGTTAATTTGCAAATTAGAGTAGTCTTCTTGGGGTGATTGGCATTATCAGGCTGATGAGAGGGTATGGCCACATGTGGTGGTGACCTCAAGAATAACACACACACACACACACACACACACACAGAGTTGGGGGGGAGAGAATAGTTAATTTGCAAATTAGAGCTAGACAAGCCTAAACTGGTATATATAGAAAGAAGCAGGGGCTACCTCATTACTCCAAACAGAAAGAACTACTGAAGATAAAACAGAATGGTCAGATAGTATTATTTGGAGAATCTGATTTTTTAACTCCTGGGTGGTATGGAAAAACCTACCCTGATGTTTAAAGTCAACATTAAAAATTTGGCTAAGAATATGTGTGTGTGTGTGTGTGTTGGGGGAGGGGAGTTGTGTGTATATGTGTGTGGTGCATGTAGAGGCCAGAGGACCCAGGTATCATACCATTCTTAAGGCACCATCTACACTGTTTTCTGAGCTGATCTGGAAGCTACTGGCTAGACTGGCTGACCAGTGAGCTCCAGGGACCCTTCTGTCTCTGCCTCCCCAGAAGCAGATTACAAGCATCCTCCACTACACCCACTTTTTATAGGTTCTAATGATCAAACTCAGATATTCTGTGTATTTTATTTGTTTATTCATTTAGTTTGTATATGTGTATGCAGAGGTCCATAAACCCTGGTGGATGGAGGACAGTGTTCAGGGGCAGGTTCTCTCCCTGTACACTGGGTCTTCAGGATTGATCTCGGGTCATCAGGGTTAGCGACAAGCACCTTTACCTGCTGAGCCATCTTGCTCACCTCAAACACAGATCTTCATGCTTGTGTGGCAGTCACTTTACTAATGTAACTTCATCCCCAGCCCATTTCTTCATTTTTTTTTTCAGGGAGTTAAATCCTCTCTGGCTCCTCACTCCATGGGGTCCTTCAGGCTGTAGTCTGGAACCATCCACTGAGGGCTGCTGTGTTTCTGCTCTACTCATTGCTATGTTACTTCTTTAGTTTTGGCACCTAGAAATTTTGCTTTCTTAATTTTAAGCTCAAATACAATTTTTTGTAAAACTGTCTATTATTTCTATTTTTGGAGTGGAATGCAAATTTTCCACCTACTCAGACTTGTCAGGAAACTTGAAAACATGTCATTTTTTTTTCTTGACCCACTATTTTGGGTCAATTCACATTAAACAAACAGCTCATATTTTGTGAAATAAGTTTGATTTTTTTTAATATTTTAAAAGTACTAAGTATTCTTTAGCCCAACAGAGGTTGAAAAGTAGGACTTATGATATTGGCTTCTTATTTGTCATATAAAGATTGCTCATTTTTTCTACTTTGTATACTTACATAAAATTAAATATCAAAAATTTGAATAATTTTGAGAAAAATTACAAATTTAAATTTTTTGAATAGACTTTAATTT